CGGCCGCCAGCCCGGGCCCGGCGGAGCAGGCCACCCGGCGCCCGGGAGGGACGCGGAGGAAGCCGCGCCCCCTCGGCTCCTCCTCCTGGCACCCTCCGCCACTGAGCGGATCCTCGCGGGTGCGCGCAGCGCCGCGAGCGTGCTAGCGCCTCCTGTCGGTGTCCCGGAGAAAGCGGCAACGCGGCCTCCTGCTTGCCGGGCTCGGAGGGGACGCCCGAGCGAACCCCTACTGAGCGCCTGCCACCAACCCGGCCAGCTCCGGCCAAGTCCTTAAAGCGAACGTTCTTCCAGACTCTAAGATCAGGAGACCTTGCCTGCACGAGAGCATCCCGGTTGGCGATGGTGACGTTTATCAGAGACCTAGGACAACTCGCAGTACCCGCTGAGACTGTGAAAACCTGGTTGAAGGCTGAAACAGTCAAGAAGTCACAGGTGCACTCAATTCAAGCAAAAACCGTGTAACCCTTTAGCTGGGCCAGAGGCATCCTCCACGTCCAGAACTAGGGAGCATTTATTGCTTCCAAATATGCACAAATTAATAGAAGTTGCAAGGAATGTAAAAGTATGTGCTCGTTTGTGCACGGTGACTTTATTTTTTTCATGTGTTGCACCTAGTAGCCATTTTTTATCAATGGGCCAATCTAAGCAGAGTTGAAAAAGTAACTGCCTCCATCCAAATTTACAATGGGGTATTGGACTTTTTATAGTGGCAAAAACTAGGCATCATTCTTGGCATGGCCTAATGCTTATAAAGTATGTCTACTAGCAATGAATGGGTTTTTTTTTTTCAAGAGTTTGAAGTTTGAGTTTATTGTAGCAATAAAAGTACCCCATTTTCCCAGATTAAAGTTGCTGTAATTAATGAGGGAAGCAGGTGAGCGGAAGAAGCTGATGAAATTTTTTAAGAAGAGCAATGCGAAACCATTGCAGTGCGTCCTGGTGTCAAGCCATTTCATAGTGAGTGGTTTTCACACCTGTTTCACTTGACCTTCGCAGCACTCCTGGGAGGGCAATATACTGGCTATCCTTATTTTATGAAGGAGGGATCGACTGAAACTGATTGCCCAGGTTCTCCCAAGTCATGAGGTGGAGAACTCTGAAATCAGCAGTCATCCTCAGTGTACCCCGAGGAAGCTTTTTCTTCGCCTATATGTTCAGATGAGTCTGAAACCAGCAGCAGCTTCTGGTTCCCAATGGTCAGCTTAAATGTATGATCAGATGTTCTGAAAGTGAAGCTGGGGGATATCACTTGAAGCTGAGCCAGGAATGGAAATTCTCGGTGGGGAGAGATGACTCAGGGCTTAAGAACACTGGTCTTAAGAACTCTGCTCTTGCAGAGGACTTGGATTCGGTTCTCAGCCTGGGGGCTCACAACTTTCTGACACTACAGTTCCAGGGGAATAAGACGCCCTCTTTTGGCCTCCTTGGGCATTGCATACACATGATGCACTTAACCAAGTGCACTCATACACATAAAATGAAAATTTTTTAAGAAATGGATATTCTCATGTACCTCTCTAGAGAAACTCTAGGGCAAAAGAGAACCAGGGAGTTTTAATAAGCCTTCCAGAGCATTCTAAGGACCTTTCAGGTAGGAAGAACACCACTCTCAACTGAGATTTATTGTCCTATAATCACAAAGTCCAAGAAAGTATCTTGAAATTGAGAGATGTGATAATCTCACCGAAAATATATGCTAAAATATATGTCTAAAAGCAAAATTAAGATGAAATAATACAATATTATAATTAAAACAATGGCCTTGTGGCTTGATAACAGGTACAAGATATTGTCAAGTTATCTTTTGTGTCTCCTGAGATAGACAGGAAAGCTCCCTGAAGAGAGGTTGGAAGTGATCCCAAGCTTTCCAACACAAAGGAAGATGTAAACAAGGATAAAATTCCAACGCCACATCAGTTTCCACACCAGCAAACATCCACTGTGGCTTCATATAAAAGGATTAGCTGTGATACTGGTGAGGGAGACTGGGAGAAACGAAGACTAGAAGTGGATGCAGCCATGGAATGAGAGAGAGACCCAGCTGGTATGGTAAACATTCAGCCAGAAGAGAGTATCTGGAGGATACGGACCAGACAGGCAGCAAGCCAGGAAGGCTGCTAAGGCAGGGAATGAGAATGTGGTGAGAAGTCAACAGGCAGCTGGAATACAGCCTTAAGAACTCCAGGAGCAGGCACAAATGGGGAAACCACGGCAAGAATGAGAAAATATGTTGCTCATTGCAAGAGCCCTGCTTCTGTGCTGGGGTTTTCCAGGTCCGAATTCATGTCCTTGAGCTTATGTATTTGGGTGATTCCAAAGAACTAGACAAGTATCCAAAGGCCAGATTTGGTGGGTAGAATGAAACTTACAAATAAAATAGCTTCATGCCTATCCCTGGGACCAGATTTCACAGAGAATGTGGCTGCCTTATGTTGAGGCCCCTCAATGTTAGTATAAAACTCTAATTCCCCTCCAATATGGCTGGGCTTAATCCCAGAGCCTAAAAATGGGAGTCACACAGCAACAGTCACTGGGTGAAAACGGGCCAGGCAGATGGGCAGAAAGTTAAGGAAGGCAGTTAGAAACTGCATCTTTCACTCTGAAATGGTAGCAGCATTTTAGAAAAAATGCTGATTAGCTAACTTCGAGAGCTAGCAACTGAAAGAATACAAAGAAAAGGCTGACCTTTCAGATGACTGACTCAGTCATTGGAGGAGGGGGGTGGATGTTCTATGCTTTTCATCTGTAGCTTTCAAAATATTTATGAGTGCTATCACAGCTTCCTATTTAATAAATAGGGAGTCAAGGCACAGAGGGGTTAAATGGTTTGCCCCAGGTTATACACACTCTGTCATACCTATAAATTCTAAGAGCAGGACAAAAATGTAGAGATCTAATTTGCTAAGTGTTAACCTTCCTAACCAGGCACAGAAGTCATCAATAATGTTGCACTTAGCATGGCAGAGTTAGCAGCCGTGATGTTCTACCAAACTACCACCTGACATTTGCTCATCTTTCAGCTAACCCTATTAAAATGGTGTTTTCTGACTAGCTCATAGGCCCCTTGAGAACTGGGAACATTGAGAGCAGATGCTTTTTCCTGCCTGAAAGGGACAAAGCTGAAAATGACCCCACCCAAGCCAACCTGGGAGCAGAGGCTTACACATGCTACTGCTCTGTCCGTTGGGTGGCAGTCTACTTTAGACCTTAGGGCCCTCTTGTCCTACATACAACCAAAAGTATCCATATCTTCTCCTGGCCCAGCCTCTGCTTTTTCTCATAGTGAAGTTTTAGCATTTACCAACTTCTTAGACTTGAACCCTCATCTACCCTCCCCCATGGTCCAGACCTCTGCAGTCTTTCTCCTGCCCCTTTGTGTTGCCAGATCAACACTCCCAGTAGATCTACCCTGCAACTCTTACCTAATAATTGCTACCAGTTTCACCTCTTCAAAATCATACCTTCTACCAGCAAATGAATCTCTCCCTAATCTACTTTTCTGAAAAGCCCCAGATTCCCTTCAGCAGCCTATAGGACTAGAGGCATGGTCCTCAGCCAGGCACTCAAGGTTCCCCACAACTAGAATATTTTCTTTCACTTAACTACCTCTGCTCCCTAACAGGACTCCTTTTATTGGTGAATATCAGCATACATAGTATGGTTTTCAGCCCACTCACTTATTAATTCTGCCTGTGTGCTCTTATGGATATTTACCTAGAAACTCTCACTCTTCACCTGCCTACTGAAATCCAGGATGACTGCTCCAAATTCATCCATCTGTTTTTGTGAACAGCCTGGCACACACTCATATTCCACTCACTTAATTGTGTGTTACTTTATATGCCTCAAAATGAACTGCATTCATTGAGGGCAAGGTGGTGCTCAGCATGCCCTGGTGCCCAGGAGAAACCTGTTAGGATCAGTTGACCCAGTATAGACAAGTTGCAAGAAACACAATTCTTATTAGGTACTGGAATCTATTTTTTAAAATATTTTATTATTTTTATTGTATGTGTATGAATGTATTGCCTGCACGTATGTAAGTACACCCATGTTGTTCAGTGCCTGCAGAGGTCAGAAGAGGGCATAGGTCAGATCCCTGGAACTGGAATTACAGATGGTTGTTAGCCACCGTGTGGGTGCTGGGAATTGAACCCACATTTTCTGCAAGAGCAGCCAGTACTCTTAACCACTGAGCCATCTCTCCAGCCCCCTTAAATCTATTTACCATTTGCTTGGTAGTTCACTCATATTTAGAAAAGATTTCACCAGTTTATAACATCAGTTCAAGGAAGGAAAAACTAAGGGAATTTGGAAGAGAAGAGCCCTAAAATGATCCCCTGGTTTTTTTTAGCCATTTGCTACATGCCACTTTATATCACATCAGGCAGACAAATATCAGAAGAGGAGGCGGGGGGAGATTGCCCAAACTTTATATAATATAATCACGAAGAACCAGACCCGAGATGTGGAGCTAAATAAACAAAAAGAAATTATTTTCTTACTACCTAGGAGATGATTCTTCTTGGAAATCTCAGTTCAATTTGTTTTGAAATGTCAGTTCTATAGGATATATACTTTAAGACATGTTTTAATTGACACTAACCAGTTCAGTAATTCTCGTTTTGGTTTTGTGTCATCCTGAGAGTATGTTCTGTTGCATCTCAAAAAAAGATTTTCATTTCCTTTAATTCACATACAACACTTCAGAAGC